TGATCTGCTCATTTTAAAACAATCACAGATTACTATTTATTGCATGCCACTCTGAACATCTTTCTTACAAAATTATTATGACAACATCATTTTATTCTGATTTTACATATGAAGAATTGAGACTTGGAGAGATTATCTAAAACCGCATGCTTAAGTTGTGGCAGAGTCAAGATTTGAATGTACTTCTGCCTGGCTTCGAAACCTGTGATTTTTACATGATGCTTGCTAGTCTGTCCAATAAAATTGGACTAAGTAATCTCTAAAATCTTTTAATACTTGAAAACACGTCCAAACCCATCACACCTAGATGAAGAACCCCTCTAATTTGCACCTACGATACACTGTGTTTAAATTTGTCCCTAGCACACTAACACCCTTCTATATTGTTGGAGTGAAATGAAAGTCTTCCTTCTGTAAATTACCTAATTTACCACTGGCCTAAAGTTTGGAACCCAGTACATATTTGAATGACAAATGAAAAATGCTGTATTGTGAGATGGCTATTATTGACTAAATTTGCTACAAATGCAGCAAATTTAATGTGATTGTTTAAAAAAAATAATTTTTATATTTTAAGCACGATACGTCAGTGTATGGAATAGTCCTGGGAAAAGTTTCTATAATTACTAATCTCCATTAAAAAGTAAAAGTTCATAATAAAATATGTTGTATTTTATTAACATATTTTTATGTTATACTTTTATTTATTTATTTATTTATTTGGGTTATGAATATTCATGAGATACAAAGCTGATTGGCACCCCTTGTGCCCAAGATGTGAAGGCCAGATCCATACTGGCAATGTGCCCATTACCACAAATTGCGATTTTACCCTATGTCCCCACCCAAATATCCCCAACCTCCTGCCCCTTCCCCTATACCCCCCAACTCCACTTTGTATCCCAAGCTATGTTCTCTCCCTCTGCAAATCCAGTGCACCACTGTGAGAACCATACTTTTTAAAAAGGTAGCAAAAATGACCCTTGATTTTACTACAGAGATTATGGTACACACATCTTTCATAATGTCCCAGAAACAAAACATCCAGCAATGGAGCAACAATGGTAAAGATTGTAGCTGTTCGTCAAGTGTTTCATTTCACTCTAATGGATGTCACCCTTAAAATTGAAAGCTTTCTATAGTAGACATACTTAAATCTATGCCAAGACCTACCTTTTAGGGTATTAAAGGAAAAACGACACTATTTTTTCAAAAGAAATGATAAATATCTAGAAAAAAGGTAAGAATACTTACAGTATTAGCATTGTATAAGAAGATATCAATTAATTTATACTCAGCCATCTAATAAACTATAGTATTCCTAATATAATTTTAATGGATTTCAAATTCTGAGGAATATCTATATTTCAGTAAAAAATTATGTAGCTAAATTTTATCAAAGTCTGATTAAATTCTTTCTTAATAAAAAACCAATTTATAGATGTTTGCAGTTTGGATAACCTAGCATTTATTCCTTTGAAGACCAAGATTAATGCTATTTCCATTCGTCCGTTTTGATGAGAGGTCTGTGTTTTCCCTATTGTTGGATAAGAGTGCTGCTGAAAGAAGCTTTAGTTGTAACTTTAGAATAACTTGTTTGTTTGTCTTCATTATATTTTCAGTTTATTCCACAAATGCTGCTGTCTGTCTTAGCATGTTCTAGCTCTGGAAAGAAGCTTTAGTTGTAACTTTAGAATAACTTGTTTGTTTGTATTCATTATATTTTCAGTTTATTCCACAAATGCTGCTGTCTGTCTTAGCATGTTCTAGCTCTGGAAATGCAGTGGTAGCAAATACAGCGACAGATTCCTGCCCTCCTAGAGCTTATAGTAAAGTAGTAATTCTTTTATCATGCAGAATTTTTAAAGGTAACTCAATGAATGATTTTTAGATGCTTCAAGGGGAATACCAGTTGAAAGCAACAACATTTCCATTAAAAAGAAATTAAACAAAATAACCATTCTATTCAAATTGCAGCTCTGATAGTCTAAGAAACACAAATAATAAAACAAAAGGAAAATACTGGCAATGACTGTTGCTTTGGAAGAGAGAATTAAGTTTCTGGTAGTTTTTTGTGGGAAGAAACATAATCTCTAGTTTTCTTTGGGCTTTAAAATTGTAGGGCTTTTCCCTTCTTGAATGAGTTTACTTTTACCTTTCCTTGATTTGGTTCCCAGTGGTTTACACTGATTTTGATGATGTGATTTCAAGCCATATATCTATTTCATTTGGATAGACTAAAACAAGATTGGGAAAATATCTGCTTCCATATATTTTTTCTTATTATTTCAATGTATTTGAGATCATTCTTATTAATTTAAGTAATTCTGATGAGGGCTATCGTTCTGCATGGAATTTTGCAGTACCAGCTAATCAAGGACTTTTCTCTGTCCTTAAGTTTATTGATTTTATTCATTCAACAAGTGGTTATTAAGAATCAGCTAGGTGCAAGGCATTATTCTATAGATTCTGTGGATACAGTGCTGAACAAAACAAATTAGTATCCTATTATCATGTAGCTTATACTCTGCTGGGAAATACAAAAAATAAACTTACTCTACTGGGACATACAGTATAAAAATAACTGTCACTAAGACTATAACATGTAGTGCTAACTACTACTATGAACAGATTAAAACTGAGTGATGTGATAGAAATGAGGTGTGGCAATTTCTATAATTTCAGTGTTCAAGGAAGACCCTCTTAGGAGTTGGCCTTTAAGTTACTATCTGAAAACCTGATTGAATTTATTTATATATTATCTCTTCCATTTAAATTTATGCTCTATAAAGGCAGGTATTCTTTTATGGCTTACGCTTGTGATATCCCAATACTTGAAATAGTGTGAGGCAAACGGGAGGTGCTCTGTGCACATATGCTGAATGAATGAAGGAAAAAAGCCAGTCATGTGAAGTAGTTCTTGATTGCAGATGATTTTGCTTTACCAGGGGAAATTTGGCAATGTCTAGAGACATTTTTGGCTGTTATAACTACAGGTGGGTTGTCATACCTGCATCTAGTGGATCGAGGACAGAGGTACTACACAAGAGATCTCCCCGCAAAAATAATGGTCAGGCCCGAAATGTAAACTGTGCAGAGGTTAAGAGAAGTCTTCCCCTTCCTGAACTAAGGGAAGATTTTCCTGAAGGAAACAGTTGACGTGCAAAGACCCTATGGAGGGAGCAAGTTTACGTATTGGTAATAGAGGAGCTCAAGGAAGCATATTGGGAAAAAGAGAAAATAGGAAAAGATGATGCCTGGGAAGATAGCAAAGGCCACACCACTCAGGGCCTTGTAGGCATAGGAGTTTGGATTTTATTCCATGTGTGGTATAAAGCTATGAAATGGTTTTATACAGGGGTATGAAAGGATTTGACTTACTTTTCTAAGCAGGTCCCTCTGAATATTTGGAGTGTGGATTGTAGCAGGAGAAGTAGGTAGAATGGTTAGAAAACTATTGTGATAGTCAAAGCAAGAGAAAATAATGACCTGGATTAGAGGGTAATAGTGGAAATGAAGATACACGGACTGATTTATAATATGTTCTAAGGTTAATAAGATTTCCAAGGAATTATGTATTGGAAGATGAAGCAGACAAAAGAATGAAATAGAACACCTGGATTTTGTCCAAGCAATGTATGAATGGTGGTATCTTTTACTGAGACGGGGGTGACTGAAACTGGTTCCCTTCCATTGTGACTTCTGTAACATTGTATTAAGGAATGTTCTAACCTGTGCTGCTTCTATGGAACCTTCAGAACTATAAATGACTGCCATGCCTAAAGTTATTAGGCAAGAGGAAGAAATGAAACAGAATATTTTTGTCTCTTACTTCAGCAATTCTTCATTCCAAGGGGACTGAACCAGGACTAGCATAGTGTAAAACACACAATACTACAAGTAATGAAATCATAAAAATAAATAACTCTCAATAACATACACACACAATAAACTTACACCATAGCTATCTGAGTCCTACAGAAATAGTCCATACATATGTTATTATGCCTCCATAGTACTGTACACTTGTGTAACTCTAAAAAATCTGAATCTAGGTAAACAGAAGCTCTTTTTTTTTGAAGAGGCCTCTGAGGTTTTCCAAGGATCTAGTTAATATTGTTTTTGCTTTTTTAATGTCTATGATGTTCTGTGACTCTTACTAATTTCTCCAGTGTTTCACAGACTATTTATTGAGTCTTCTCTACCCTCTTGAGGATCATTACAAAGAAAATGATAATTTAGAGGTAAAACCATGGTGCTTACTTCTTCATATTAGTTTTGTACTTTTATAGGATGGGGACTATTTCTTTTACAGAAGCTTGATTCCCTTGGCTCACCTCTCTTAAGCCAAAACTAAAATCCCTATACAATTCATAAAAGATAAAACATCTTCCCTTTTCTCTTGACTATATGGCATGCCTAAACTTCAGAGTGGTTTAAAGAGAAGGGGCTTTATTCTTTCTGTCACTTGCTAAACAATATTAGATGTTTTGTTATATGTCAGGTAGGTAATGAAGATATAAAAGTCAATAATGTACAATTTTTGCTGTTAGAGCCACTCCTGACTTTGGGAGAAAAAAGTAAAAATAAGATAATACAATGTAATGACTAAGTACTGTAATAAAGACATGCAGCGCATGGATTCCCAAAGAAGGAAAAACTTTTATCAGTGGAAATCAGGAAAAGAGCCACACTGTCAAGATACATGAGTTAGAATGTAAAGAATGTATGTTTAGAGAGGGAATGTCATGGACAAGGCACTTATGAAGGATGACATTTGCAACAGCCTGGGGTGGGAGGGCTAATAGTAGAAAATTCAGTGTGGCTAACTTGCCATGAATAGAAAACAATCAAAATGTTTGCCTTTCTGATATTTTTAATGGGTAAATAGCCACATCACTTTTTACTGCCAAGTGAATATCTGAAAGAAGGTAGGTTATCTTTTTACATGTGTTGAACCTTATATGTGGACTAGTTCTCTATACAAAAGAGCCACTGTCATGGAAACATCACCCCCTTCTCATTTCTCTTTTCTTGTGTGTTTTATTGCCATATTGTTTTCAGGGACTCCTGAAAGCCTAGCTGAGAAAGAGAGGCAACTCATGGGTATGATCAATCAGCTGACCAGTCTGCGAGAGCAGCTATTGGCAGCGCATGATGAGCAGAAGAAACTGGCTGCATCTCAGATTGAGAAACAGCGCCAGCAAATGGAGCTGGCGAAGCAGCAACAGGAACAGGTGAGTAAGCACCAGGGACGTGATCAAAATCCTCAGACGTTACTTTGCCTGCTATTTATAGGCCATTGTCCTAGGCACACAAAGATGAATGAGTCCTTCCCCCCACCCCAATTAAGTAAATATAAAAGCAGAAAAATCAAAGCAAACACATAACTCCCCCCTCCCCCCAATCTTAAGAAGCTTATTTACTACTTTGGTGGTAAGTAACATAGAAGTAATCATAATCAGGATGTAGTTCTGACAAGTCGTGGGAGGAGAATGAAAAAAGATTCAGAGAGATTCAAGGGAACATTTCAAGTCAGGAACATTTTGAAAGAATTTATTAGACAGGTGACATTTGAGATAAACTTTGAAGAGTATGTAGAATTCAATAAATGAAGTGAATTTCTAATTAGGGGCAGGAAGTTCAGTTAGGAGCCTATTAATTTAAATTAAAAAATGTGAGACTCTAACCTAGGCAGGTTAGTGACCATGGAATAACAGAAGAGAGGAATAAATACGTGGAAGAGTTTGGCTAGTAGAATTTTTTGAGTGGGCAAGAGGGGGAGGAAAAGTGTTGAGCCTGAGTAATAGGGAGAATGAGAATGTCATCACCAGAAATAAGGAAAGTCAGGAGGAGGGAAAATTTGGAAAAGAAGGTGGTTTTATTATGTTGAATTAGAGCTGCTGACTGGTTGTCCAATTGGAGGTATGTTGCTTTGCGTTGCTTTTCCCCCCACGGATTTGTCACCCCGCTTGCCCTGGGTGATGGAGATGCAAAGGATTACTCAAAGCCGTCTCTACTGAGCAGAGAGAGGCCCCAAAGTGGTTAATCTCCCTCTAAAACCCTCAAGCAAAAGGGATCCCTTCCTTGGGAAATTAATGCTGAATTGGGGTTCTCTTCCTGCATTTATTTTCCAGACCAGGAAGTTACAGGAAGAGAACAAAGGTGGGGTTATAGTTTAACAACATAGGCTGGTAACTCTCAGTGAAACAAGCCAGATGACATTCCAATAAGACAATTAAGTGGTCTTATCAACACAAGCTTGACCTTAGCAAACATTCCTTCATATAGCAATTCTCAGTATCTTTACATAACAATCAGTAACTAGTCTGTCTTTCAGCCAGCAACCTGCTGTACCACAATCCTTATCTTGCAACAGAGACTTATAGCCTGAGGGAAATTTCCTGTCCTTGCAAGGTCAATATTTGAAACTGCAAGGCTTTGGAAAACGAGGCCCTGTGAAATACATATGCTTTATAGTATATTCCACAAAGGTGTGTGAAAGACAGCTAAAAATACCAATCAGCACTTTGGAAGAATGGGCTAAGCTAAATTTCATAGATTATCTACATAGAAATGGAAACCACTGGAGTAGATAAGATTCATTCATTTATTTGATAAATAGAAATCAAGTGCTGCTTAGGTGCCAGGCACTGTGCTTACTAATTGCTGAAGCTATCTCAATTATCCAAAGAGACAAAGCCCCTAAATTCTGGAGGAAAGAATGAGACAGTTAACAAAAGAACAAATAAATTAGCAAAATAATATCAGATAGTAAAATAATTTGAAGAAAAAGAGTAACATGATAAATATTGATTGATATGACAAAGCAGTGCTTCTTAGATTGGGTGGTTGGCTAAATCTTTCCTAAGCTGTGGCAATTGAGCTCAGATCTAAGTGATAGACAAGAGTCCATCATATTAATATATGGGGTCAGGGTGTGTCATGCAGAGGAATGGCAGGTTTATAGGCCTTAAATTAAAGTGGTGATATCACAAGAAAGAAGAAAGGAAGTAAGGGTAGATCCTTGGGGGATACTGATGTATATAATGGGCTGAAAGAGGAAAATGACATATCCAGAAACAATCAGATAAAGAAGGGACAGGAATACAGTGTCACAGGAAACAAAATAAGATGGAGATTTTAAGAAGCAGCAGGTGATAGTGTTAAATGCTAATATCATTTAGTAGTCATTCTAATATCAAACTGAAGTTACTAGATTTGCCATTTAGATTCTCATTGTTGGCCTTTAAGTGCGTGGCTTCTAAGGATTTTTAGTAGCAGACAATAAGAGTTAACAAACATGTAGTAATGTCTATAACTTACTTAAAAAATTAGTAATCAAGGGAAGGTGGGATAGAGGGTGTCACATGGTCAGCTTGCATACAGGGAAGGCACCTCTTTTCCAGGGCTAAGTCCCTTTACTCTCCTATGCATAGTTCACCCACCATCTCAAGTGGAGGATGGCCACTGCTTAATCAAGGCTATTTGTGTGTCTGTACATCCCCTGTAAATCCTTCTGAGCAGCATTCAAAGTGTAAATGAGCAGGACTGAAGGAGGTGAAGAAATACTCAGATTATGTTTGAAGAGCCCCTTCTCTTCTCTTCTCTATTTAATGGTTAATCTCTGCTTGAAAGATAATATCTTTATTTTTAATGAAATACCTCACTTCATCACTCCCCTTAAAGATATATTCGGCCTGTTATTGGAATATGGCCCATATTCCTCTTGCTTCACCCCTATGATAAGAGTTCAGAATGCTTGCCTGTGACAGTGTAGAAAAACACCAATCTTTTCTTGTCCTTAACTCTCCATCCTTCAGACGTCTGAATTCTAGAGAATCCTAGAAGGTTCTGAAAATGCTGCTCAGTAGAGGCTATTTCATTGTAGAGAATCCCTGCTTACTTTGGGTCTGAGGCACTTGTCCTGAAAATTCTAAGCCATCACTAATGAAAAGGCAGTTCCCTTTCTTTTTCTTTCCCATTCTGGCCCATTCCTGAGTGTCATCGAAGGATTCTAGAACATCCTACCTTCCCAAGACCTCTGATATTCTCTTCAGGACTTCAGAACCCCTTAGGCTCTTCCAGAATTTCTCTCCTGTGTTGGAGAGATGCCCCGCAATGCGGCCTCCACAGAGAGAAGATCCCTTGTGACAGCTGAAGGTCGGGTTTCTTGGAGCCCGTTCTGTTCTCCCAGTTCCCGTCTCCTGTGCAGAGTGGGCATCATGGTCACCACTCTTGTCATCACAGCTCTTTTCATGAAGAACATTTAGTCCTTATTTCTTAAGACTCAAGTCAGATTCATCTGCTCTGGGGAACTCCTTTTCTGCCCCTCCTCCCTCCACTCCCTCCTCAGTGTAGGATGTCCCTACGCCATGTGCTCAAATGCTTCTATTACAGCCCTTAAAAACACTCATGCGCCTGTTGGCCAATCAGCCTTTACACAGATTCTGAGCTCCATTCACATTCATCTAATCAATAATTGTCTATTGAGCACCGATTTGCTGCCAGGTTCTGTTCTAGTTACTGGGGGTATAGTGAAGAATAAGACAGACAAAAATCCCCCATGTATTGAAATGTGGCTGGGAGAGATAGACAATATATAAACCATGAAGCTATAGTATATGTTGATAAGTATGTTGATAAATAAAGCAGAGAATTGGGGATGATTGTACCACATAGAGGGATATGCTCTTTTAAAATGGGGCTCAAGGAAGCCCTCATTGACCAGGTAACATTTGAGCAGAGAATTGTAGACTATAGTATATGTTGATAAGTATGTTGATAAATAAAGCAGAGAATTGGGGATGATTGTACCACATAGAGGGATATGCTATTTTAAAATGGGGCTCAAGGAAGCCCTCATTGACCAGGTAACATTTGAGCAGAGAATTGTAGAAGGTGAGGAGGGAGTCAGCCATGTAGCTATCTAGCCAAACAGTATTCCAGATGGAGGGGAAAGCAAGTGCAAAAATCCAGAGGCAAGACTGTCCTTGGAGGTAGGAGCAACCTTGGTGTGTTCAAGAGGCAGTTAGGAGAGCTGTGTTGCAAGAGTGGAGTGACAGGGGGGAGAGAGGGAGGACATGAAATCAGAAAGGTAGCAGGAAGCAAAATCATATAGGGACTTATAGGCATTATATGGACACTGGCTTTCACTCTGAGTGAGCAAGAAGGTTTTTGAAAAGATGAATAGCATGACACACTTGCATTTTAAATGGCTCGGGGTGCTGGTTTGTTGTAGACTGTAGGGAGCAAGGACAAAAGCAAAAAGAGCGAATAGGAGACAGTCACAGCAATCCGAGCAAGAGACATGGTGGCTTAGAACAGGAGAAGTTGCGGAGGCGTGTGAAGTGATCAGGATCTTGATATATTCTAAAAGTTCTATTAAAAGGATTTAAAGATCCACTAAAATATTAGTATGTGGGAGGAAGAAACTGTACCTAAGGAAAAGAGTGATATTCCATTTTCTACCATCTTCTTTCCTACCATACTTCAGAAGAAAAACAACTGTTTTTGTTTGTTTTGTTTTGTTTTTTTACCATATTCCAAAGATAAAATGAAAATATTAAAATAATCATGATCCAATATTCATAAAAGGAATAAAAAATTCATTGTATAAACTGGTAGACCTATCTCCATCAAATGGGTTTTTACTTTTATTCATAGTAATATATATCACTTTTTTCTGAATTTTTAACTTTCTGATACAGAGATAAGGGTTATGTATTCTTTAGTGAAAATGATGAGAATAAGGCCTAGAGAGTGATAAGTTTCATGAAATTAGAAGTTACATTCTCATGAGAAGGTTTTCTACCGTATATCATGTTTAATATTTTCTTCTCACCTACTCATTCACACATTCTTATCAAATATTCATTCAGTATCTCTTTTATACCAGGCTTTGTGCAAATAAAGGGCAAAATGTACATGCTCCGTACCTTCCCTGTATTTATGGACTTCTCCATAAGAGAGAGAAAGATGGTAATAAAAAAGAAAAGTAAATATAAAGTCATAACATGGGGCATAGTATTGAGTAAAGGTAGAGGATGTTGAAAGTGCAAATACCGGGGGTGAATTGTGTGTTTCTTGGGTAAAGGACATTTAATGTGACTATCCTGAGGACTAAATCTCAAGTTTACTTTTGGATCAATTGAATTTGAAGTACCTTTGAGTAAAGTCTCTGGATAAATGGGTCTAAAGCTTAAAACAAAAACTGAGTCTAGAGAAACAAGTTTAGAAGCACTTGGCATATATATGGAAGTAACTATAGAGGGAAAAGAATAGTCTACAATTGAGCCTTAGAGAATTACATTTACTTATATTTACTGGCTGTACAGAGCCATTTAAAGGTAACTGAGAAGGAATAGACATGAGAGGTAGGTGCAAAACCAGGAAAGTGTGATGTTACAGAAGCCAAGGGAGAAAGTTCAGAATCAAGGGAAAGCATTTGAGTGTGGAATTCTGATGAGAAGCCACAAGGTGAAGACTGGAAACTCTTCAGAATTAGAGAGATGGAAGTGTTTGGTGACCTTCTTATGAATCATTTTGGTAGAGAAACTAGAATGGGATGTGTTGAGGAGTTGGCAGTTAGGTATTTGTGGGAAGCCAAAATGGGAACAGTATTTACCAAAAAACAAAAAAATACTAAAACATTGCTGAAGAATACAGTATCTTACAATACTTTGTGCTACTCTGAAAACTTGGTCACAACAACCTCCTATTTATGCAAGACTCTTTCTTTTGTAGGAAAGGGCTGAAAATGTCAGAGGCAGTACCTTACTATATCACTAGGAAGAGGGGTTTTTGAAATTCTAACATTTCCTACTGGGATAGATCACTGTTGTAGTATCTTAGGCTTGACTTGTTTAAGGCCAAAAGAAACATAACAGCTCCTAAATATCTCGTTTGATCCTACTTAAGGATAAATTGCTGATAATTTAGGGGCACAGGTGTATCTATTTTCATCATCTTAATCAGGGTCAACTCAAATTTTGAGACACAGGACATTGGTAATTTCCCCTAGGGACTACAATATACTTTAAAATTTTTTCATGTGCAATTTCTCCACAGATTGCAAGACAACAGCAGCAACTTCTGCAGCAACAACACAAAATCAATTTGCTTCAGCAACAGATCCAGGTCAGAAATCGTAATTTCAATATACTTCCAATTAAAAATATATATTTTGTTTCTTATTCATATATGATCTAACAGAAATGACCTCCAAAATAATAATTACTTTCAGCCTTAATTCATGACATTTTGCCTCCTGAGCCATACGAATCTTGCAAAAGGTGGCTCTCTGTCACGGGCACTACTGTGTCAGGGAGCTTCAGTATGAGCAAGCCAACAGTAGTTTTCATCTTATGCTGAAGAAATGATTGTAGAGAAACATTTTAATTTTAAAGGTGGCTCTCTGTCACGGGCACTACTGTGTCAGGGAGCTTCAGTATGAACAAGCCAACAGTAGTTTTCATCTTATGCTGAAGAAATGATTGTAGAGAAACATTTTAATTTTTCAATACTTTAATGTTTAAAATGTGTCTGTAAGTGTGGGGAACCAAACCAGAAAGGTTCAGCAGGGTTTCAGATAGAGAAGCAGTGCCAGAGAGAGGTTTTTCACCATATGCTCAGGAGCCCTGTGTGATAAAGGTGGAACACAGGGAATGTAATGACTTGGTGTTCAAGTCCACTCTCGCCTGGGAAATTACCTGGAGAAGCCAAGTCTGAAAGCTCTGTGACCTCCATGTTTTTCTTATACAAAAATTCACAATGATAAGGAGCATCAATAAAGAAAGAAGGAAGCATCTGTATTAGAAACAAAAGCAAAAAGTTAAGTTGCCAGGAATGTTTTGTATCTACAATGTGTTGTATCTAGCAACAGAAACTTTGACAAAATTCGTTTCTCCTTGTGAAACTTTCCTTTCTGAAAAGCACTTATTTCATAGAGGTTTTATGCAGATTAAATGAAATAATTGATGAAGAACTTTAGCATAGTGCTAAGGCATATAGTTAAGTGCTCAGGACAAACTTGCTGTGGCTATCGAAGAATCTAATTCATGGAGCTTTGAATCCAACCTTATGTAACATCATCCATCTGGAGGCAACTGTTAGATTTGCAGTCAGCTAATCTGGGGAGAAGTTTATCATTCTCTTGAAGTTGTATCTTGAGACTCAAACATTTTATCAAGTGTAAATATCATAAATGACAGAAGCAAATGTGCCAAAATTATTTCATTCGTGTTTTAAATTCTTTTCCAACAAAATTTCTCCCATTTTATCTAATTGGGTGAAGTACATTTAATTTCTTTACCTTTGATTATATAGCCCAATCTTGTATTTTAGTGAGCTAGTGACAGCTTCAGTGAGACAGTAGAACATCAGTGAGATGTTCCACCCAGGGGTCTTTGCTTTCCTCAACTGTAATTATGAGCAGTGAATTTCCAATGTGTTATTATCTATTCATCTCTGGAGTATAGTTATTTAATTCAGTGGCTTAAAGCTGTTCATTGTATTTCATGTTGTTCAGTCATAGTATACTGACTCTGAATATAGCTTAGTCAATGGTACCAGATTATCTGCATTTAAAATGTTTTTAATTCTTGAAAACATAAGGCATTAAAATTGTTGCTGCAAATTCTCATTGTGAATAAGATCCAATCAGTAATCAGCAGTGTGGTAAGCCACTTGGTGTCACTGTGATTTGCTGAGGATACCAGTAGTTTCAAAATTTTATAATTTCTGTGAAACTCTGAGAAAAGTTATTTGTCAAACAGAATTGCAAAAATGCATCTAATCAAGAGTATAAATATGTATAAGTCTTAATAAACTATGTATTTGACCAATTGGATTTGCCAGCACCTTCAGTGCTTTTAGGGGAATATTCCACAGTTATGTTCATTACATTTACAATATAAATTTTAAGGCCTGTCATAATGACAGAAAGTTGAAATTGATGGATTTCTTGCTCCAGAGCATGGAGCACTATAATTTATGTGAGAGCATCTTTTTGAAATGAAAAGTGCTTTGAAAATATATCCTAGAAATGGCATGACTATGGAAACTGTATTCCAGAGAACAAAGGCCAAGTTTAATGACTTGCACAGGACTACACAACTAGTTACTGGTAGAACTAGGATCAGAGGCAGTTTTTTGACTATTAATGGAAATTTTGCTGAGTATGAGAATTTTAACAGCCTAGAATTTGTATTTGATCAAAATGTTAAGCTGCTGGCACTAGTTCATAGAGTGGGGGGTGAGTCCCTAAAGGGAGAATGTCACACTGAAAGTAATTTGGGGGAAACACTAAGAGACGTTGAGATATATGTGGGTATTTGTCCTCTTTCTAGGGTTAGTGCAGAGAAATGAAACCGATAGAGTCAAAACACATCAAGATATTATTTTTTTAAAAAGTCTGGGAAATAGGGAATATTTCAGGCAACAGATAATAAATACTGAGCAAGACTGATAGTCTGAAAAGAATTCATTTTTACAGCTTCTGGAATATTCATTAACTAAAAGCATAGTTTTTTTGTTTTGTTTTATTTTGTTTTTCTCTTTTTAAAGGCTAGTCAAGTGTGGCGGTGGGAGTGGAGAAGGAACAAAGAAATCTGTGACTGGTTGTGATCAATTAGTTGTAAACACCACTGCACTCGGACCGACCAAATCGTAGCTCAAAACTGTATTTTTTTATTAAGTTGTTAATTTGGGGCAGCCTTACAAACACTTAAGAGTTATGCAAATCACAAAGTATTTGAATTTAGTCTTCAGTGGATTGTTCAAACAATTATGGGAAGCACTGATGTAGTGGCATGTGAAGAAACAGAAAATTAAAAATGTAGAACAGACCTATAACCCCACATAAATCTTGATCATATTTCTTTGTAGAATGTTTTCTCCCCCCTCTTCTTCTTACCACTTTCTTCTTTGCCTCGTAAGCATAGGACAAGGAGGAAGAAAAGTAAAAGTCGAACCCGCTACAGTGAAAGGCAAATCAATTTTATAACAAATATTATTGTAAACTATTTTAATCAGAATGTGTACATAATCAGATGTTCACATAAGATTTTACCATAGATTAAATTTTATTTGATATTCGAAAATACTCAGCTAGTATTTTGAACCTTTTTCTTTCTTAAATATGGATCCTTAACACCTGTAGAGATAAACACACCAATTTACATTATTCATCCTGATTGTATTTTCTTAGAGTTTTGTACTATTTTTGTTGTGTCAGACTTTAGAATGTAACAATGCATTCCAATTCTTATACTGATAAAATAGTGGAAATAGTATTATAAAGTCCACAAATAAGGCTGCCTTTAAAATTTTTGTTCCAGTTTTAATACAAAAGACATTAACTTGGTCCAAGTGTTAGTAAAAGCATTTAATACATTAGATTGGTTAGACAGATCTGCTAGATAGATTAGACTGATAGGTTAAGAATTAGAGGAAGACACATTTTTGCACTTGATGGATATGTTAAATGACAGGAAGGATAATATTTCCTTGCATTTTCCTCATTCTTTAAGTGAGATCTCTCTAAAAGAGAGGTTAGTTTGGATGTCTTTAATCCATTTGACATATATATCATTCAGTTAAAGAAAAGTATGAACGAGTTTGTACCTTTGTACATACACAGAAGCATTCACATATTCTAATAACCTGGGTTATTTAAATTTTTTCTCGGCCTGCTAATTCTATCTTTTCTCAAGTCTGATAAAAAGAGTGCTGATAAATTTTACCGTAAAGTTATTTATTCAGAGAAAATGCCGTAACAATTTGCGAGCGAACCAGTTTTATTTAATCCCCTGGGATCAGTTCTTTTTTTTTTTTTTTAAGGATTTCCTTTTTATAAAATTTTTTATTATTTTTATTTATACATACTTATGGGGTATAGAGTTGACTATCAGTATTTGTTTGTGTACAATATGTGGTGATCAAATCAATATTATTAGCATGTTCATCATCACAAATCGTAATTACTTTCTGTGTCCCTTACCCAATTACTCCCTATCCCGCTTCACCTCCCCGTTTCCCACCTCTAGCAACTATAAGTCTGTTCTCTCTTTCTGAAAGTTTAACATTTTATTATAGTCTTTCTTTCTTTCTTTGTCTCTTCGCTCCCACTTATGAGTGAGGACATGTGGTATTTCTCTTTCTGTACCTGGCTTATTTCACTTAACATAATTTTCTCCACACTCATCCATGTTGCTGCAAATGGCACAATTTCATTCTTTTTTATGGCTGAGTAGTGTTCAGTTTTGTATATATACCACATTTTCCTTATCCAGTTGTCCATTGATAGACATTTAGTTTAGTTCCATATCTTGGCTATTGAAAATGGAGCTGCGATGAACATAGGAGTGCAGGTATTCCTCCGACATGATGACTTCCATTCCTTTGGGTATATACCCGGAAGTGGGATGGCTGGATTGTATGTCACTTCTGTCTGTAGTTGTTTGAGACTTCTCTACTGTTTTCCATCATGGTTGTACTAATTTACAGTTCCACCAACAGTGCAGGAGTGTTCCCTTTTCTCCACTTCCTCACCAGCATTTGTTATTCTCAGTCCTTTTAATAGTGGCCAGTCTAGCTGGGGTGAGGTGATATCTTAGTGTGATTTTGATTTGCATTCCCTGATACTGAGTGATGTTGGGCATTTTTTCACATACCTTTAGAATCAGTTCTTTATGAACTGTCTTTATTTCTTTGGAAAGCAACCTTAGCTCTAAAATTGCATCATTGTAATTGGATTGAAAATTTAATCTACATTCCTTTCTTATAAAGACTTTATGTTGTAAAGACAGTCTTCTACCACGTGTATTCACATAATTCATTAGGATTAAAAGAAAAATTAAGGTTTTCTGTTATTTTTTGCAACATTTATAAATCAGTTCACTCTACAAATAAAATCATGTCATAATAACAGAAATATCCATCTTCTCTCAAGAACATGTCCACTTCTTAAGGAGCCTCTGAATTTTAGGAGCACTAAGAAGTCTCAGCCTTCTTTTTCTACTATTTAGCAATATTTTCCTCTAACATTTTTGTTTATCGACCTTAAATGATAGAACACTTTTTTGAATTTCCATTTAAAATATATAGCTAACTTTAATGCACATTAATACAAGAGATGA